ATTATAGGCTTGGCATGTGAATAAATGTCTAAATAATAGTTTATATAATATTTGAAGCCAAAATAAAAACCTTCAATAGGCAGATTTAGCTCCTACATAATGCACCTTTAAAGCCATTCGCTCTGAATAAAGTAATTTGACAATATATTCATTTTTTATTATCTATTTTGAACTATTATAGCGAGAACTACCAGCTCGTTTTCCAAATCTTACATAATTTATCTTGAAGCTTTTCGAAAACCAGTATAAAACCTGGGACCTGTTTCACGAAATTTTAGCTAAGATAAAATTCAAATTTTAGTAATTTGATTGAATAATATTAGATTGATTTTAGTGCTTAGCCAATCAAAATTGGAGTATCTACTAAAATTTGGATTTTATCTTTAGTTAAAATTTCGAGAAACAGAGCCCAGGTACGACTGGTAAATTAGTAGTTTTAAAAAACGTCTACATCTTAACCATGTATTGTCAAATGTGTACCGCATTTCATAATATACAATCTATACACCCCCGGTGTAAGCGCTTAATCACCTCGAATAAAAAAATAATTTTACCGATCGGCGAAGCTCACCAATGAGCTAATGCATCTTTGAAACATATTAGACCAATTTCTAGAAAATAAAGAAGATGCATAAATTTTGATATTTTAGTATGGGACATAACTCCATTAGACGATTATGTATACGAAACCGATACCCATGCAAAAACATTTACAGTCAAATACATTGAACGTACAAAATTCCATACTAAAGAACATGCAATTTTGTTTAATTTCAAAAAGAGAAGCGAAGCTAAAATTTTGCGTCTTTTAAACTAATAACACTTGGCGTTTGTTTGGGGTTTTTTGTTTTGTAATCTAAAAATGAGCCTGCTTTCAACAAAGCGATCTAATTTCCTTTATCGCTGCGGTCATAAAAGTCGCCTAATGTCCGAAATTAAAATTCGATCTTTTGTTCTTTGTATGACTTTTGTTACCGTTCGGGGTATAAAGCGTTTAGGTCAATATTGGAAGCCACTTTATATCGTCAGTATTGTCTCCTTATACTTTTTTTCAGATTGGTTAAACATTTATTTCATAGACTGAGTTAAGCTGTACTATATTTATAAGTCAAAAGCATCGTACAAAGTTCACAACGTAGACATTTGTTTCAATAGCGTACACCGCCCAAAACTGATAAAATCAAAGTTGTGTCGTATCGTTGCACGCGACTTATTTTACACAGCGCGCAATAAATTTTTCATTGAAATATTAATCACAATTAAATCAACGTAAACATTGACAAATCACTCGAATATGCACCTCAGCTGTCAAATTAAAATATCTTTTTTTCATCTTTGGAAAATAATGTTCTTTTTTTCAGTGAAAGGATCACCGTCACGTGTCCAACAGGCGGCTTGATTGGCGTGAACAATCACGTGATTGTTACTAGGAGTGTGTGGACAGTTTCTATACAAGTGTAGCATTAAAGAATATGAACCAACTGGCGACAGTTTTCCAATGATAATAAAATCAAAGTTAAGATTTTTAAAAGAAAATTTCTAACAGACATTTATTTTTAAAATTCTTACGTCATCATTCAACGTTTAGTTCGTCGATGTTAAAAGCGCACCACGTGACTAAAACAAGGCGGTGGAATGAAAAATCTTGGCATCTATTAAATAGATCTGCTATTCAAACAGGTTTTTTGAAAATGTTAGGAAACGTACATAGCCTATTTTAATTTTAGTTTTCAATTAAGAAACCATAGAGCAGGCCTATAAATCGATTTCTGCCATATATGCGTAGGTTGTGATTAAAACTGTGCGTCGTTTTGTGAGTGAATACAAATGTAAAACTTTAAGTTTCATATACGAGGGTCTTAATATAGCGGTTTTAAATTTCCGAATATAGAACTTTATGATTGCATGATAATATTAATATTTTAACAATTATCAATCTGCTTTTAAAACAACATATTTTAAATTTACTGTTCAGCATTTCATGATAGCATGACTTTAGATATAAGACCACCGCATACGACCCAGATTGTTAGCTAGGCCTATATTTAAATGTACAACACAACGGTTAACTACATTTGAACGCATAACACACGTGTTATTAGCTATATTTGAACGTACAACACAACCGTTAGCTTCATACGGGGGTTGGATACTTAACGTGCTGCCAGTGGTATGCAAGGAACCCCGTTTTCGTACTATTCGAACTACTAGACGCCCTTCCTTACTAGACGGGAGGGGGGTGTAGATGGCCGAATGGTTAGCGCGTGTGCGTTGTATCATGAAGTCCGTCATTGAGTTAACTGGCGTGGTTTCGATTCTCCGGTTTTACGTGATAAGGAGTAGGGTCACCTGTCCAACCTCGTGCCCCCCCCCCCCTGTTTTCTCCCACTGCTAAAGACACCAAGGCGCAAGCGAATTATTGAAATAAAATTGAACCATATGATAGTCCCGAAATGGCCTAGTCTATGTCGAGTGGACGTTAAACCCCATTTCTCTCTGTGTTAGCTTCATTTGAACGCACAACGCTTCTTAGCTATATTTGAACGTATATCACAAATGTTAGCTACATTTACAATAATTAGCGATATGTTAGCGATATGTAAACGTACAGTAAAAATGTATTAGCTATATTTAACGTACAACATGCATAAGTATTAATTATATGTGAACATATATTAAAATTGGTAGCTATATGTGAGCGTACAACTGAATATATTAGTATCCAATTGTTAGCTATATGTTAGCGTACATCATAACCTTTTAGTTCAATAAGAATTTATCTTTAAAAACAAAGTATGATACTTTCATATCGAATATTGAATTAGTGATTTCACACCAAAATTTCGACCCCAGTCCACTCAGTAGATCGATCTACCAGAAGTTACAGATGAGTCGACCCATCTATAAATTAAACGTATTGGAAGAAGGGGTGGCAAGGTTAAGAAGTCATTATTTTACCCCAATTCCCTCTAAAAAAAATATTATTCACTGCTTATTTTTAAGTTTAAATGTAAAATTCTGTTTATAATTCTTTATTAATTTGCAATGATCTTGCGTTGACAGCCCTTTGTCAGCTGATTGACATTTGCTCCAAAATAATAACCGGTTTAAAGTTCATTACTTTCTTCACAAGAACTGTATCAGTCTCAAGTACCATATTACTAAGGGCTATTGTTTTATAGCATCAATAAATTTCATATCGTTCGTTCCCCGGGCTCACTTATAGCGCCTACTTGGTGATCATTGTTTGCAAAACCTTTGACATTGTTTACAAATCTGTTCTATTTCTTTTTCTGTATGAAGACGTGCAGAAACTAACATGGCCGATAGCCCAATCTTGACTTGTAATTTCGGTCTGAGTTTGAAAATCCTCGGGGCGGGTATCTTATTTGGTGTATAGTCTGTGTACTCGCGACCCCCTCTGGCTTACGTACACACAACGTGGGAACAATAACGACCACTTGCATGAAATTGGATGAAATGTATTAACCCCTCTTTGATGATGACGTATCATGCTGAATCTTTCTTGGTAACTTTGGATATAAGGAAATGTAGTCTTACCCCCAGGGTCAACAGTTATATAAGGTCAAAAAACACATAACATCTCACACCACTACTGGCTACGCACAACAAATAAGTTCGATAGTAGACGAGCAAACTAAATAATATTTTCAGAAAATTTTCTATTTGATTTGCAAGTTTTCATTTTCTAACATGAAACGAAAGTTTCGATCTGGGTGTCTCCTGAAATTAGTGATTCGTTATTTTATAATTTGGGGTTCAATCCAGTGTATATATCCATAGCAACCAAATCAAATTTTGTCTAGTCACGTTATAGTTTTCAACAAATGTAATTACTTTACAATTATAATAAACTAGATTGTAGACAAAATAGAAGTTGTTATCATTTAAGAATCGGTGTTCGTATACTACTGTCACGATTCTAGTTGACTAAAGGAGTCAGACCACTTTGGTGTAATTCAACGTAAAGCGTTAAATTGGGTTGATTAATTATGTGGTGGGACAAGACCTATATGATTAAATTTTCTTTTAAAAACATTAAGCGGAAGTCGGTTTGTTTCAGTAGACAATCATATAATTAATATATCGCTTTCTGAATTTTCTCTACGCATAAACATGACCGGAGTGCTTGTTTTTGTAGTACCCCCACCCACTCTGGTTACGTCACGGTGTTGTTTATACTTTTATTTTGGTTACGTCGACTGTGGAAGACAAAATCGTTTTATATCTCAGCACTGACCTCAGTGGAGGATTTAAAATTTTAAATGTCCACACACTTGTTACACATACTTCCTATAACTGATTTCGACAGGGCAACTACCCTGTCCCTTTTCTGGTTTTGCAAATCAAATTTTTTTTTATGTTTCTCACTAACAGTGTGCGTGATAATACTCTACAGACTCAAAGAAACAATTGCTTATTTTCTAAAGCAACCCCGAAAGACACCAGAAATAAAAATCTCTCCGTCGATAATCACATTAGGCTCTATAAAGAAAGATATATATCAACAAGATCGCATTATATGTTACACGGAGATAAATTTTGCCTGGACAGCACTACATTTTTGGTATAGGGACATAACATAGGTGGACAAAAAGTAATTTAATGTTTGGAAATTAATCATCTAATATAATACTTTCTTTATGAATATACCAATCACACTAATACTGTGTTAATATTCCGAATGTGTGCCGTAGTTAAATAATAGGATATATAATGCTAATTGTGACCTTTTAATCATAAGACCCAATTATATTCCTAAAGATAAGCCAATGTTGATCATTATTAATATTAGAGTTGATTTTTGTTCTATTATTTCATGTGTTACACGATACACTGATTTCATAGTATTCATTTATATTTCAGTTACAGTTTGGACAATTTCTTTTATTTCTATTAAACAAAAGAAAGTGAAGGGTTCTCTTTAAGATAATGTTGTCAATGGTGACGATGATTAATGATTAACACGGTTTATTATGTTTTAATATTTATACAATAATTAATACAGAAAGAACAATTTAGACATTCAAGTTAAACACTTTCAAAGTACCCATGTGCAAACAGAAAATGGTTTGAGAATCGCATGAACGTGCAAACGCTCGTCCGTCTGTCATATTTATGATATTGAAATGTGCAATTGTTTACAGAAACATAGAACATCTGATCAGTCCGGTATCTGGAGAAACCTAACTTTTGGGTGACATGAGGCATGAAATAGTGCGCACGCGCTCTGTGACTCTCGGCGCACGCTTTATCTGAATCAATAATTAGTTGGAGCTGGTGCCAATTGAGTAAATTATCGGGAAGGCGGAATTCAAAGACAGACTCAAGTAGCTTGGTAAATAAATATTTCCACTAGAATTGTTAAATTGCAAGTCTTTGAAACTAAGGGCGTTTGAAAACGGCATGAATACATAATTAGACGCTAATTTTAGACGATTTATTACACAATATTAATACGCGTTTATCAATACGCGATAACAAAGACTAGATTTGTTGTCATACACTGCTGATAAAATAAGCACTTAGACTAAAATTGCTAATTACTGCTAGCTAGTGTTTGCTATTTCTAAAAGAGGTATGCGTGAAAAATAATTTGATGCGAAGCCAACTGCTTACATTCAATGCGAGTAAGACGTACTGACAAATCAAGTAAAACACGTCTAATTTTATTTAAACAGTAATTGAAAAATATGAAAATTAATAATCGAGACATGTTTTTTCAGAGCAATGTTTATCTAGATTCCGGGCAATCTACAAATCTAAATCTAACAATTCTTTCATTATCAAACTCACGCGTCCGTCTTTTTCTAGCATATCATTTTTATGAAAATGAAATGAAATGGGATTTAACGTCCCACTGTTCTGCTCCGAACTGGGCTAATGAAGACGGATCATTTTTAATAGTATATTTCTCCTACAAGTATTGGTAATGGTCGCTGTTTTATGGTTGCTCGATATGCATATATGATATAAAGTAGAATAGAATTGATAGCTATGTATAACGAAATGAAATAACGAATTGGAAGATTAATGAGTTTTTTTTTTTAATTTTTAAAACAAATGAAATGTATGAATATACTACTGTGAGGTAATTTAGTAGTTAGTTAACGGTTATGTTATGAGAAAATATTAGACTAAATAGGCGGTATATATGACACGCCATTTTTACAGATAAAATGTTGGACCTAACATTTATATGTACTCGTTAGGCCTCATAATAGTAAAATAGAAACAGATATAAATAAATAACAAATGTAACAAACATATATGTTGATAAGTACTCTAGCGAAGGGATACATAAAGACAATAAACAGATATAATAAAGCAAAGATATAAATCAATTTTGGACTGTTATAATATAGATACCATAAGAAAACGGCGGACTAAATAGACACGTATTCAATGGGTTTCCACTTGATTCATGTGTAAACAGGGTACCCACGTGCCTGTATTAAGGCATGCATGCCACGCACAGATTATATTGATAACAATTTTATTTTGCATTAGGTTGTGTAATTGACATTTATCATAATATAGAAAGCATACTAATTAGCAAATAAAATGGCGGGGGGGGGGGGGGGCTAAACCTATTATTGATTATTTTCTTGTGTCATTTTGGAACAAACAAACGATTTCTTAAATTTATTATGTGATGGAAAACAATTCAAAGCATAATATCGATAACTTTTTATAATGCAATTAGAACTTTCCACTGTCTCTACAAGAAGCCAGGGTGGATCGGTGCATATGTTGCAGGGGGCTCGAAATTTCTTGTAAGATACAAGGTCTCTGGTGTCATTTTGGCGTATATTCTTTGTAAATGGGGGTCTTGACTTTACTAAAACACAGAAACTCAGATTTAACATAACAACATGACATACTAAATACATGTACTACGTTTAAGTTTTACCGATGCAATAACAATCAGAAGTACTCGATTTTGACAGTAAGTTTTAAGCAGGCAAAATATAAAAAGAAATTTGTTCATCACATAAACTATTCATTTTTATTTTTCAATACCAAAATTCTAACGGAACTTTTCGTGTACAAAAGAAAAACATTTTTAACGCCTAACAGAACGAATACGAAGGTAAAAGTTTCGCTTTCAGTTTCGTTTTAATGATCGCATACCAGTCAGCCTATCTGAGGTGATCGATAACCACGTGCTCACCATTATTGTACTGTTCTACAGGCCCGGACTGGGTTCCGATGACCGCCGAGACCCAGATACCCTGACGGTGACGAGGGCCTCAAATAGAAGGATGGCGGACCGGACCCCCACGCCGCAAAGGCCCGGACAGGTGGCTTAATTATAGTTTTGAATTCACCAATTTTTCCATAAAACTGGACTGACACAATCCGATTCTAATCTTACCCTCTCCACTAGTTTACCACATTCAGAAAAGTCACCGGTTTTCTCCTACTTTACTTTTTTTAATATTTATATCAATTTTTTTTTTTTTTAAAAAAAACATTACTCGGTATACCTCCCAGCTTCCCCCCTCTCACGGGACCTGAGGCACGACAGGCGCAATGATAGAAAACACTGGTCGGGGTTATGTATATAATATATATAGATATAATATATTAATGTGACATAACCTGGTCTAATAATAGATACAGGAGATTTTACAGCTCACACATTATTACCGTTGTCATCTGACAATGCCGCACATTATCATCTGACAACGTCACACAATAACCGTTATCATCTGACAATGTCGCACAATAACCTTGATCATCTGGCAATGCGACACATAAGATTTTGGTAAATTAATGAAGTAAATGTATGTATTTATGACATCTACATGTACAAAGCTACTCTATGTGCAGCTAGTTGGTAGGAGATTTGTTGTGTGTTTAGAGACTACCTATCTTAAAAACTGACTCGACAATGAATATTCATATGCAAATATATTCCCTAATTATGTAGGTGTTCATGTTGTCATGTATTCCAGTGATTGTAATGATTCAGTATGTCCAGGATGGAACAACAACAACCCGAGGGCCCGTGTATACCATTGACAGCACGTTAAAGACTTCCTAGATTAGAAAATCAATAGCAAACTTCACGTCGTAAACCCGTTTTCATTAGCCCGGTCATTGACGTTAAACGCCATATTATTTTTATTTCATTTCATTTTAACATGTATAGAGACCCCGGGACTGTACAATGCTATAGGATCTTACCGCGGTTCCCGAATCAATTCAGTTGATTTGGTTGTACTTGTAAGGTTTACAATGACCTACTATTAGATAAATTATATTGGTCAAATGTATTTTTACTATTTTCGTAGCAAATTCAACTTTTCAAACCTAAAATATAAAGCATTGGTACTGATAAGATGCCAATATTCGTCGAATCTATGTCTTAGCAACTGTAAACAACTACAGGTTTTAGTCAACTATTAACGGCAAAATATTCCATACCATTCACAATAAAAAAAAAGAGATTATTGTAATAGACAAATCCTAACTAAAGTCAATATTACTTTATATAGATGTCATGCCACAAACTATATTGTTACTGAATGACTGTTGGATAATTCATTTCAATCCATGGTGTTGAATATTATATATAAACAAGATTGTCTGATTTAATTGTCCAGTCATCTGAAGAACACTTTTCAATTCTTATTTATGTTAAATTTAAATAAAATTTTATTTCGCCTATATCAAAAGCAAAGACTGGGATATTTGTCGTTCGTTTGTGGAGTTTAACGTCCGCTTCCACCAAGGGTGATATCGCAGTCAACAAAGTATAAATTCGGTAGATATCATCTATCTCTCATCTGTACATAGTCTTTTGGTATTTTTTTGACACTAGATCTAGATCTATCTACTATGGTATTATGCTCTATACACTGTTCTCTTCTAGGCTCAACTGATACTAAGGACGATGTTGAACTTTGACCTCCACAAGATGGCGGTTCATTCTCCTGATTATAAATTTCATCCAAGTCAGTTATTTCTGTAATAGTCAATTTATTTTTATTCTTTTCCTCCTCTAATTGTTTTTCAGTTTGTAATTTTCTATTTAATAATTCCACCGACCAACGCAGATCCTCTTCCCATAATTCTTCTTCACCAGGATTTAAATGAACTGCTTTTGAAAAATTCACCACTGCCTGAAAAAAAAAAATACGTAAAGTTAACAGATTGATGAATAGATATTATGGTAATAATGGATCAGGTCTGTCTTTCAATATTGTATTGAAGCGACTGACAGACCAAGGGAGACAACTACATTTTTTCAACCCTTTTCATCCCCTTGCTTTACTTTTGAGAACCGAAATCTGTATGTCTTCCATGATTAAATATTATTATACTGAATCTATATCTGCAAAATGCTAGTTTTAGTTGTTTTAGTGAATCGTTACTCAGTAGAATAACATTTGTTTTTTGTCGAATTCGTTGGAAGAAGATACAATTATTTGCTCAGCCGCAATACAAACGGTATTCACTGTATTTAAGACATAAATGATAAACATGAGTCTCTTTAATTTACAAACAAATATAATGACCATATTGAAGTATCTGTTGTTTCTAAATATTATGTAGACCAACACTTGCTCTATCTGTTGAACCTAAAGTTTCAAATTTAGACAGATACCCACTTCATAACAACAAATCAATATATTACCAAATCAAAGAAATGAAATGAGGTTTAAGGTCCGACTGTTTTGCATCAACCGGGCTAATTCAAACCGATCCAAAGTAAATATTTGCATGACTGCTACATCACTGATAGGGATAAAATCGGGGCAAATTCATTAGCCCTCGATATTAACTATTTATTAAATTATTAAGAAAAAAAATAAAGGTGTTTGAAGTATATCTGCTTAAAAAATATTGAGTAAATGGTGACAGTTCTGCCCGGGCCTGTTTGTATTATGACATCCGATGTAAACAAAGCTTGTGTATCTATCAATATGATGGTTTTTAACAATTTGTTTGCGTTATTTTCAATCTAGATTCTAAATAACCTGCTCGTACCTGTTTTAAAACTACAAAAAACATGCAACAAAGGCAATCTTGCGTTGTTTTAGAAGTATATACTGGACATGACCGTAAATGTTATATAAAAGAAGGCTTTCATATTACTGCTATGTAATAGTTTAATCAAAGAGGTTTAGTCATTTCTAAATCAAACTTACCAATCTAACTTCTCCTAGATTAAGTTGGGCTCTACCTAAAGTTTGATAACCAACCCACCATTGTGGACTCATTTCAATAACTTTAGTAGCTGCTGCTAAAGCTGGGAATAATTCATTTAAGTTCATCAAAGCCTGAAAAAATTAGATATGGTTGCCATATCTTTCTATATGTCCTATAACATATCACTTACAAGATTATATGACACAATCAAGGGCAATAACTCTGGACGTAATTTTCAGAAATTGTTGTACATGTAATTATACATACAAATTTGTCACAATAATCGAAACAAAGTATATAAATTTAAAGTAGATCAGATGATGAATTTTGATGATTCTACAAATGGAGCAATCGCCACAGCATATATTCAAAATCAAATGATACATTCTGTAGAGTGTTCATTAGAAATGGTAGACAGAAATATATGACGCATATATGGAGCAATTGCCATAGCATATATTCAAAATCAAATGATATATTTTGTAGAGTGTTCATAAGAAGTAGTAGACAACTGACAGAAACGACAGAAATTTATGACCACATAAATTTTAATAGTTTCAGATAAAAACAAGTTCTGGCCCAGAACTTCTGGGGCTTTGGACCTTTGGACAATTTCAACAGTTGGAAAAATATAATTTTCAATTTTCTGTGATTTGACAACTACATCTAAGGTGTTCAAATCAGACTGCATGAAAAATTTGAGACTGATTTGCCGTCAATGCCAAAATATAAACTTTTAAAGCATCATTTTCAAATTCATAGAGTTTTACAGGGGCCTGTGTAAAATGTTTTGCTCTTTAAGTCAACTTTCTATTATTATTAGGCGATTCAAGGGCTATTTATATCGAAAAACTGAAATATCGCCCTGCTGCATCGCTAAGTCAACTTTCTATTATTATTAGGGGATTCTAGGGCTATTTTTGTTGTTGAAAGTGACAATGCCTCTTTAAATTGTGTATTAAAACTGGCTAACAAATTAACAACATTAATAAGTGTATATTTAACTGTTCTTTAAGGCAATCACAACTTGTAAATACATAATATTACCTGTGCTTTCATCTCATATAATGTGGCATCACATGGTGTGTAGGTGATTGCTTCATCCCATTTTTTTACAGCTTCCCAAAATCTATTTATATTTAAAAAGAAATAAAGATAAAATCAAATCTACATTTCCCGGTACAATAGGGCAATACTCAGTATGTGTGTACATAAAAAGGGCAATAAGTCCAATTGTTTTATGAATCAAACTGATCTATTATAAGACAAGTGATCTTTTTGTGGAGTATACAATATAAAATGATGTTGTATATGATTACCAGGGAAAAATAATATACTCTTTCTCCATTTCATGTTTTCCTATTAATAAGGTTCATATGTTGAAATGGATATCTAACTGTATTCCTACATGTAGTTTCAAAGATAGACCTAAGGTTGACATATAAATGAAATGTGGTTTAATATCCTACTTTTCTGCACCAACTGGGATAATGAAGACGGCATATGCCATACTGTGTGTAATGAGAGAAATTTTGCCTGGACAGAGGCACTGTCAAGGATTTTCTTATGTGCATGCCAGTTTTTCATCCCATCCGACATCCAAATGACTATACGTTGTCCCTTTTCAGGCCCTCTATCCTGCACAGTTGAGAAACAACTGAAATCCACCAAGTGGTTTAAGCAAATAAGTTGAAAATGACTAGGTGTTTACAAAAAAATGATTGACAAATAGCGGTGGCAGTATACGACAATGAACAATAAAATTACCTATCTGAATCCGCCAAAATTGTTCCTTCTTTTTTCAAACGCTGACTTTTACCACTTCTATCTTCTAATCTGATAATTTTTCTCTTGGGTACAAGAGTTAACCAATCAACATCACCATTCTTTACCTCTTCTCCATCATCTTTAGCATCTTGAGAAAAAGTTGAGGAAGCTTCTTTAGACACTTGTTGACCAGATTTTCTTTTCCACCCAAAAGATGTCATTACGGAATAAGGTACTAGAAAAAAAAAATATATATATATATATATAGTAGAACAAATACATTTTGCAATGAAAGAAATATAGTAATTTTAATGGATTTAGTGTTTAGTGTAAGGATTTTAATCTATTACCATACCCAAAAAATATGAGATTAGCAGAGGAAATGGCACAAATAACAGACAATGTGAGATTGTTGTCAACATCAGACAATTTCTAGAACTGATTTAAAGGGCCATTCTCGATTATATTTTGGAGAATAAAGCTGCTTAATTTTTTCTCGGATTAATGATTAGTTGATTGATCATTGTCAAGTCGAAATTTGCAATAAAAATATAAAAGTGTTGATTTAAATTTGAATTTGCCGATAATGTTGGCGATAACGTTTTAGGGTATTGGCGATTTTTTTTGAGAACAGGCGGGAAATTATTTTAAAAATTTAATCTAGATTGATAATTACATTGAGTGTCGATCACAATCAGGTGGCAAAATACTATAAATTAATCAACTCGCTGATAATCTGGATTGTATCAATGAGTAATACTAACCAATCATCTCGGATTAATGATTAGTTGATTGATAAATGTCAATGATATATATATATAAACCCTATCCCAAGTCATTATTTACTCCAAATAATTAATACAAGCGGTGATTATTTGATGTTTCATTCCGTCTTAAAGAAAATGGAAATAATCAAAATGGCTGACAATTCTTTTCGAAGGGAATTAAATATTTTGATAGTTGAATTCTGTTTACTGTACTTCATACGACACGAACAATATGCATATCATTATTTTAAAATTATATTATCACCATTGGTCAGAAACGTAAGAAGGAGTCGAATAGCAACACTGAGAAAACGGTGTGCCATTTGTTTCATTACTGCCACCAAATTGCTCTAAAGTGAAAGACGTGTCTGATTATAAGCATCAGGGAATCTATCAGGGATTCAGATTCTGATACCGTTACGGTACCTGAAAACAACAATACATATGGGTCTATTGTACATGCAAAACATAAATTTATAGTAAATTGGCAATTCTTGGATGAGATGTTTATGTTAGGTGTAAATATTGAAAATATAATGTATTTAGTAAATCATCTCAAAACTGGATTTTGTAAGTTGTGGTATATTGTATATGTAGGCTACCGGTACAGTCCTACCTGAGAAATAAAATTGTTACGTGTTGTCTTTTTTATCACAAATTTCTGGCAGATATACAATAGAGCATAGATATATCATCATAGTAACAATAATGAAGTACTGTATAAATAACAATAAACAGACATTTTTTTGTAAAGTTTATGGTCATTTTTAGGGGAAATGAATTGATAACTTTTTTGAGAAAAGATAAATATTAAGTATCAGCCTAAATTTAGATATTATTCGATGAACATTGTACCTTGTCCTTTGGTTTATGTCTACAAAAAATTCAGATATTTTTTTCCACTCGAGTTTTCTTCCACCATTTTGTAGTAAACAATATCACGTGATAAAGTCCAGCTTCATTAGCTTGCATACCTAGCTCTAGGAATTCGTTACCGAGGAAAGCCGTTAGTCATTTTAAAATAATAGCAGAAACACTACTCTTTTAATTTGTGTATTCAATATGTGATTGACCTTTGCTAAGCTTTACAGAAAAATTAATGTGATATTATGAGATTTATCTACTGATCTGTTACATATTTCTGTTAAAAGCTGTGCTGATTGAGGCGTATTGGTAATGAATCTAGGGCGTTAAAGAGAATATGCGCACGCATTCACGTTACAGAAAAAAAAAATTGTAAACAAAGAAGTCTCTTTTGTGACTTTTGATTGGGCCTTCGGTTTTAATAACTACATTCTGATTGGCTAATTATATCTTTCGCTGGACGGGCACATGTTTTGAAAGCAGAGAAAAACCAGAATCCATTTCTTTTATGAAACCTAACTTCTTATTAATGGTAATATTTATATTGTGATAATGGGAAAATCCAAAATTTGATATTGAATGTTCTCATGGCATCTTTAGCAATCTGGAATGTAAATGTTTTTACCCAAATGGTGGTAAAAATCCAACAAAATCGCATTTTTAATCCTCCGAGTTCTTGACCAATTCACTCCTGAGTGATGTCACTGATTCGGATCAAATTCCTTTAGGAACGATTCTGATCGGACCGTGAGAGGACATAGTCCAATCAGCGACCGCTCCTAAAGGAACTAATAGTAATTCGGAACAATCAATGTTGAATGTAAACAAATTACACAAATTATACATTTTTTTAATATTTATAAAAAAAAACACTCAACAAATAATAACAGTTGAGTAATTAGTTAATATTAGCCTAATAATAGTTCATTGGAGCAGAAATCATACGGGGGCCGGTGTGGGCTGCCAGCATAGTGAATCTTAAGTAGGGTCCCAAAGGAAATTTTTATACGCCCACATTTTCATGTGAATGTACTGTAACTATGTCGTCGCCCCTGTCCATCAGGACATCCACAATTTGTGGTTGATCCTAGTCCATCCGGACATCCACAATTTATGGACACCCCAGGTCACAATTTTTATCTCCCAAAGATCTCAGTTCCTTTCGATATTGGCATGATGTATCGGACCATACTTTCATGGATTATGGCCCCTGATTGTATGAAAAATGATGTTTTTAGCTTGTGGATACTCTGGAGGTCACAATTTTCATCTGATTTGATGAAACTTGATATGCATGTTTATAACCCAAGATCTTGGTTCCTTTGGATATTAGCGCATATCGAACTGTAACTTCCTGAATTATGGCCCCTGATTGTTTTTAGTTTCTGGTCCCTCTAGAGGTCACAATTATTATCCGATATTAAAAAAAAAAGTCAAATGTACACGTAAAGTCGTATGCAAATTACTGTAAAAATATGGTATAACAAGGTTGTGGACCATCTATAGGTCACAATTCGATTTGCACATTTCAGACCATAACTTTCTGGATTATGACCCCTGATTGTACAAAAATTGCATTTTTACTAGCTTGTTCTCTGTCCATCTCTTGCAAAATGTTCGCATATGTGCCTGGCAACCGCTATTTGCAAATTATTGGGGATGAATCGCACCAGCCATCAAATCACATCCTGCGATATTCTTAATTTTTGTTCCCTGTTTTCACATGGAACCAATTTGTATCTTTATAACATCTGAAAATTGATTTATTATATTGCTTCCCCCTTTCTTTTTCATTGTCTTTATGAGATTTGATCTAGAGAGATTTTCAACAATCCATTAACTGTTTATTACTTAGACCTATTCTATTTGATAGTTTTTATAAACACTTACACAAATGTTTTTAATCTATATGACTCTTATCAGGTAAACAAGTCTTCCAAGTTTTTGAATATTTCCTCCTAATTTCAGGTAAGCTTGCCAATACAAATAGACTAAAAAAGATGGATGCATGCGGCATATCATGTACTGTTAATATAGAAGAACTTTCACCCACTGGTATCGTGCAGAAAAAAACACAACATCGCAACATATTATTATTATTAGGCAGAGATGAATTTAGAGAAATTGTTCTTAAATTACAACTCAGTAAGAAAGAAATCAAATACTCAATAAAAGAAGTTGTTATTCATAAAAAATTTATCAAAGATGGCAAAGCTACGATAAAATTACCAGAAACCAGAGTTCAGTTTTTAATAAGTAACTGTCCCCCTGATAAATTAGTCATGTTTATTAAGACATTACAGACAAAGTTAGAATGTTTAAAACAAAAAGGATTTATTAGTTTACGAAAAAAACTCTTATCAGACGAAAGAAAGGCTTTTTCAGAAATTAGTCCTTTAACAATTAAAGATTTACAAGAAGCACAAAAAATCAAAAAAAAGCAAGAGGAGGTCATCAAACCTCAAGAATTAAATTCTAAGAAAAGAAAGCGCCCAGATGATGATATTCAAGGTAAAGAAAATGCACAGGTTGCCAAGAAAGCGCTGACATGTCCTCCTAGTCTTACTGTAGCAGCTCCAGTTGTGTTAAGTAAAGAACAGAATATGGTATTAGATATAGTATTACGTGGTAGAAATATATTCTTCACAGGCAGTGCTGGTACTGGAAAATCATTCTTATTAAAAAGAATCATTGGTGAGAATTTTTTGAGTATTAACGAACTACATGTAGTTATTACCATTTGAAAACTTACGTTTATTACCGGTGTAAATATGTTTTTATAGTCAGCAATATGTATTTAATTTTAGAACTTCCCATTGGAGGAAAGCGAACATTCATACTCGCCCAACCTTATACACTAGATTCAATTTTGCGCCCTGGGTCAAAATGTGAAAAAAGCCATCATAAATCCCCAAATTCAATGAAAGAGGATATATTTCAGTGCTTTTCACATGATCGTTATCGATTCTAGATTGCATCAGACCGCACCTAAATATCTAAATCAACTATAAAACCATCATGGGATGTTATTTGAGTAAAAACACATATTATATCAGGAGAATGAGTGTGAGTCAAGTTTAGGTGGGCTTTTCATATGTCTCCTGGAATGTGGCGATATGAAGGCTGGTACAGGTAGATTTAAAATATGAAAACTTTTAATTATCAATGAAAATTAAGTAAAGTTCTTGAGATACATATGTAAGCCTTTACCCTGGAGTGGAGACAGTGATATCATTTCTTTTATTTAAAAATGTAAATAATTGTTGTTTGCTGATAAATAGTTTTCATTGAACAGGTGCCCTGCCACCCCATCATACATTCGCTACAGCTAGTACTGGTGTAGCTGCTTGTCATATTGGTGGAACTACTCTTCATGCTTTTGCTGGTAAGGCTGCATGTAACTCAACTAATGATTAAATCAATATCTCCAACCAAACTGAGAACAAATTGTCTTAAAATCCATGGATGTGGTAGCTTTGAGCTAGTCAGTTATATTTTCTTACTACTAGCTACTATTCTGAAATGATTTTTAAGAATTATCCAAAAAGATTAATAATCCTAAACGTTTTTTGTTTTTTTGAATATTCTGAATATTTGTTATGTTTTAAGAATAAGATATATCTTGTTAAACTAAATCTTTTTAAATTTTAAACATAAACCTATAAAACAATTCTAATATTCTATGTAATGTGTTTACTGATCTGATATGTATTTTTCGTATAACAGGGATTGGATCTGGTAAAGCACCTTTAGAACAATGTATAGAACTGGCTTCACGTAAACTTATAACACAACAGTGGAGAAAATGTCGACATTTAATTATAGATGAAATATCTATGGTAGATGGTGATTATTTGATAAACTAGAAACAGTAGCCAGGTTAGACAATATTAAAATAAATAATTGTGTCTCACCTAGCTAAATTATTCTGTATTTAAGACAATGATATTCATTTTACATGATTATGGAAAGTAAGTAAGGGCATTAAATCCACTAAATCTAAGAAAAGAATTTCAAATTTCTGGTGGAAGGTTCATCAGCAACTAATTCAACTTGTAAGGGAATGTATCCTACTCCTAGCAATGACTAAGACCAGAACATGACAAGAAATGAATTCATAAGGATCATTATTCATCCAATTGTCTTATATAAGTGAAAAATCTATATTTTAGAGTTGTTAAACAATGTGATCAACCATTTGGTGGTATACAGTTAATAGTTTGTGGGGATTTCCTACAGTTACCACCAGTTACTAAAGATTCAGAAAAAAGAAAGTTTGCTTTTCAGGTAAAATTTTTATATCATTAACATACAGCTATCATACATTACTGTTAGTTATCTATAAATGGCATTTATATTACAGTGTAGCTGCTTTCTTTAGTTTTCCACTAGTGTTTAAAGAGCAAAATAGATATAGATATGTTAGTCCCAGGATGACCTAGCTTATAACTACTCAAACGTCTTATAGATCTATATTTCGTTTCATTTTTTATACTTTCGATGGCCTACACTACATGTAAATCTAACAAGTTATAGTGTGAGTTCACGTTTTATGACGTCAGGTACCAAGCAAGCGACATTTGACCCGATTACGTCAGTCATTCGATTAACCAATTAGCGACCGCCATGTATTTTTTATCTACTTTTGCTTTGTTTTGATTTCTATTGCCGCTAATGTCTACCCACAGTTCCACGCAAAAAAGGTCAAACGCTTGATTCGACATACCATTTGATTGGCTGACCCCTCATTTCAAGCAGAACATGAGTTAAATAACAATGCTTCCAGATCCAAGTGTAGTAAAGACAAGTAAAATCGAAATTTTGAACTATAAAAACGAAACGAAATTGGATCTGTGTTTTAATCAGATTGACCTTTTCGCAGGTGTATGTCTCATTGTGTGACAACCTATGTTTATAAGTAAGACACATTGCCTAAGAATATTATTAAAATTGTGTTTTATTATTTTTTCTAATAGTCTAAATCATGGAAGGATGTGATGCATGTTAACCTAGAATTAACAGAAGTTAGAAGACAATCAGATAAACGTTTTATTGACATTTTACAAAATATCAGAAATGGAAGGTTTGTTAATTCTTATATTTATTTTCAACTGATACCATAGTGATAAGTAGTCTTGTTTATTGATCTTTCTCTGTTAAAGTCACTTATGCTATGTCCTTCTGTTCTTCCAGACAGCTGCATTGGCCGAGAAAGTTCATCTGGATTTTCCGACGTGGTTTCCCCTTGTCAGTGGCGCAGAACAGAGGGCCTGACAAGGACAGTTGTCTAGTCCTTCGGATGAGACGAAAAACCGAGGTCCCATGTATACATTGGAATGCACGTAAAAGATCCCTTGGCAGTTGGAATTCGATATAAGAGTAGGCGATAGTGCCGCTGCCCGGGCAAAATTTCCCTCATAGCACACTGTATGGCATATGCCCGTCTTCATTAGCCCAGTATAGGAGCAGAACAGTAGGACGTTAAACCCCATTTCATTTCATTTCTTCCAGACAGTAATGCAGGACGGAGGGCCTGACAAGGACAGCTGTCTAGTCGTTCAGTTGGGACGAAAAACCCAGGTCCTGTGTACACATTGGCGTGCACATAAAAGATCCCTTGACAGTTGGAATTCGATTTAAGGGTAGGCCGTAGTGCCGCTGTCCTGGCAAAATTTCTCTCATAGCACACTGTATGGCATATGTCCGCCTTCATTAGCCCAGTAGGAGCAGAACATTTGGACATTAAACCCGGACATTAAACCCCATTTCTTTTCATTTCTTCCAGACAGTTTAAAGTTTTACATATTCGTGAAAATGTTAAAATCACTGTGTAAATATTACATACAGTGAAACAATTTGAAGTTTATTAAAGAGGTATTGGAAATTTGAAATTTTCACTCATCCGTAAATAAATGATTTTCAATTTGCCATGATTTGACTACACATTGATACCAGGGGCATTCAAATTAGATTGCATGGAAAATGTAAGACAAATTTGTCAATCCTTCACTGAGATATAGATCTTTTAAAATTCTGCATTTGTATATTTTATTGAAAAGTCAGTGCATAAGTGGCAACATATCCCAGCTTTGTGACTATGTACTATCTACATATTTGTATTATTTGGTTGATAAAGAGGAGAGTATCTTCATCAAAATTTTGCATAGCATAGCATTAAATTCACTAATTGTGTATCCATAGCATTTAATTACTGAAGATATGTTTATGAAACTTTGTACAAACATCAACCTATTTATAGTAGTTGTGCCTTTTACTAATTTGGAATTTGTCAGATGTTTTGACTTAGTTCTTGTAACAATTTCATGTCACAGCTCATCAGCTCTTTTTTTCCTTCAGATGTCCTGAAATGGTTTATAGTACACTTAAAGCTACATCACAGAATAATATACAGAAGGATGGTATATTAGCAACAAAGCTGTGTACACATAAAGAAGATGTAGAACAAATAAATATATTTCATATAAATAAATTACCAGGTACGATTTGATATCTACTAATTCATTAAATTCTTCATCAAAATATAGACTTTAATAGACTGAAAGATTTCCTATCAAATTACTGCAAATAGTTTTGTGACAAACTATACATGACTTGTTGTAAAATGAATGAGTTGTAAGTACATGATTACTGCAAATAGTTTTGTGACAAACTATACATGACTTGTTGTAAAATGAATGAGTTCTAAGTACATGATTATCAATCTATATAAAACTAAAGGTGGGGGCAGGGCAGGTGCTATATCTTTTATTCTAGTTTATCAAACTATACCAATAAAAAAGAATGAGACTGATGCAGAGGTAAAACCTCTAAAAACCCTCTGACAAACAACATTCAAATTACCATACTAATGTTTGATGTTTATAAGTAATGTTATGTATAATACTAATATTCTAATGTTTTTATATTTGACTAGGTGACAAGAAACGTTTTGTAGGTACAGATACAGATACAGCTTATACCAAACAGTTAAACAATGTTTGTCCTGTACCTGACGTATTAGAACTTAAACAAGGTGCTCAGGTATGTCAATCAATCATATTTCATTGCTTTACAATCTGTAATGATTGTTTATAAGGCAGCTTTATCCTGTTAAGTACGTAGGTAGTTATATAACGTCATGGACAACTGCCACTCACTGTGTGTAGGGCATAATATACTATTCAAAAAAAGTAGGGGATATTTGATTTTTAAGTGTTATTAAAGTCACCTAATGAAACTGACGAAGAAACAAATGACAAAATGAAATGAAGTTCACATTCATCGATTTATTCCAAATGATCGTTAGACTAAGTAAGGCACAGACTGACCATTATAAGGGTAAAATGATACCCGGGGTCAAACAGCAAAGTTACCACAGCATCACAACCATGTCAGTAACGGGTAAATCCTCCTCTGTTTGCCAAACAAGCATTGATCCGACGTGGCATACTCCTAATGAGACGTCTAAGGTCATTTTGGTCCAGATTGTCCCATTCCTGTTGCAACGCAGCAGCAAGTTCTTGGACATTGGCAGGACGTTGTTGACGTTGACGTAACCTCTGTCCAAGCATGTCCCAGACATGCTCGATGGGGGAGAGGTCGGGACTCAGTGCTGGCCAAGGTAATGTGGTGATGTTCTATTGTTGGAGGTAACCTGTAACGATCCTGGCCCTGTGACATCTTGCGTTGTCATCCTGGGAGATGAAACGGCGGCCATGACTTCGTGCGAACGGCACAACATGGACTGCCAAGATGTTGTCCCGGTAGTACTGGCCTGTAACACGCCCTGCAACAACATGTAAAGCCGTTCTTCCAGCAACAGTGATGCCTCCCCACACCATAACAGAACCACCCCCAAATCGATCATGTCTGATGACGTTAACGTCTTGGAAGCGCTCGTTTCGACGACGCCACACCCTCCTACGTCTGTCCAAAAAATCAACAGTGAACCTTGACTCATCTGAAAACATCACATTGCTCCAGCGTCGATTATCCCAGTGTTGACGACCCCTACACCAACGACGTCTTGCCTGAATGTGATGATCTCTCAAACAAGGGATCACGCGAGGACGTCGGGCGCGAAGGTGACCCCTATGCAGTCGATTCCGAATCGTCTGGCCACTCACTCTCACACCAGTGTCTGTTTGAAGACGAGCGCTGATCTGATTTGCTGTGATGACACGATTTCTCAAGGCCAAGGTACGGATAAATCGATCCTGGGCTTGAGTTGTCGCCCTTGGTCGACCTGAGCGTGGTCTGTCCTGTACAGATTGTGTATCACGGTATCTGGACCATAGCCTGCTTATGACAGACTGAGAAACATTCATCGTCCGCGCCACAACCGCCTGTGTTGTGCCGATCTGTAGCATGCCAAGGGCACGTAACCTTTCATTTTGGGTAAGCCGACGCATATCAAAATTTGTTTTCTGGTCACTAAAACAATTAAACTGATGTTTCCACCCTGGAATTCAATGCCACAATGACTGTAACATTCAAAATCAGAGTCGTGCAAATCTTGGGTTGGACCCCCATGATGATCCCAAGCATCACCTGCATTCCATGCGGTAGCTATTGGTGCGTTTGGGCGTCACATGTAACTGGAAATGTTTCTTCTGTTAGGTTCTATAGTGACTTTTTTCGTAGTCATTTGCATATTTTAGTATTATGCCCCCAAAATCAAATATCCCCTACTTTTTTTGAATAGTATATAATGCATTGGAGGTATTTTCCCCAACCTATTCTTAGAACGTAGTTCGTCACTTGGGGGAATCCCTTGGGAATTCCCCCACGATCGCAGCATGTGTAGGACGTTATATTACGTCCTGGACAACTGCCATTCACTGTGTGTAGGGCGTAATATAACGCCTTGGAGATATTTTCCCCAACCTATTCTTAGAACATAGTACATAGTTCTTCGTCACTTCGTTAAATTAGTTACACAATAGGGGGTAGTTAACGTTTTAAAAACGTCACGCTTAACAGGTTAACAAAAAATAAATCCTTTTGAATCACATTTTTATAGATGTCTTTGAATAAAACCTGATAGTTTGCAATTCAGATATATTTTATTGGGTTTCTAATATCATTCTTCATCGGAGTGACCCATAAAATACAGATATTTACTTTTATTTACAAAATACTAGAGTTATGTTTATTGTAGGTTATGTTAGCTAAGAATCTAGATATACAGAAAGGACTAGTTAATGGTGCTAGAGGTATTATTACAGGATTTGATAAAAGATCAGAAGGTATTTTATGTAAAATATATTCCATTTGACTTTTTAAGACTTGTATTTAGTTTGTAGTCATTATGTGTTACATGTACATATGTCTTTCCTTCCAGATTTGGTTTTCATTCGACTTTATTTTAATCTTTTCTTTTTAAAGTTTATTACATCATGCAGAAGTGATAACTTATGCAGGGTTCATGCTTCTATTTGAGATATTCTTCGAATCTTTAGGGTTGGAAATCTTGCATTAACCAAATTGATCTCAAGCCATGAATATGAAATAAGTTGTTGGGGTCCATATATATTGGCATCTATATAAAATTATTGAGGACACATATAGATAACTTATTTGTGTAGCATTTTTAATAATTTGTTTGTATTTTATTTTATTTAGGACTACCAATTGTGAAGTTTGCTTGTGGTGTAGAAGAGATTATTAAGCCAGTAAGATGGGTTATGAAAGTGGGTGGTGGTGTTATTCTCTGTCGTAAACAAGTTCCATTAAAACTAGCTTGGGCAATATCAATACATAAAAGTCAGGTGAGTTGCAAAATATGGTTTGCATTTGAAATATATTGTGAATTGAAGCTCTGAAAATAAATTTTAAAGGGATATTTTCTTTATATGCCCTGATCTCATGTAGGAGTATATTGTTGTCTCTCTTTTCTGTCGTTCATCAGAGTTTTTGAGAGTTTCTTTTAAAATTCAAAGACTTACCGACTCCTAAACATAGGCGCTATAAAGTTTTATGGTGGATGCGCTATTGAAATTCAGACTGGAATATCAATTTTATCTGAAGCTGTTCTCCCTCTGCAAGTATGGTAGATTTTCAAAAGAACCAACCCTGAGAGAGCCAACCCAGAACCCTCCACCCCAGTTTTAGAACAAATTTTTATCAGCCAAGTGATTATTTTTGAGTTGTTTAAATTTGTTGTTGTTTTTCAGGGCATGTCATTAGACTGTGTAGAAATTTCATTATCTCGTGTGTTTGAAGCTGGACAAGCTTATGTTGCTTTATCTAGAGCCAGAAGCCTGGAAGGATTACGCTGTGTTGATTTTGAAACAAGTTGTGTTCGTGCTAACCCAGAAGTACTGAGATTCTATCATAAATTACAACTACATCAGAAGATGATGCAGACTACTATGGATGGTTATTCTAAACCTGGAGGTACCAAATTCTGTGATAGCTATTAACATCATTTTATCATTTTCTCCCTGTGATAGATTTAATGTTTTGAAAACTGTCTTATGTCAGATATTATTTTTCGATCCTATACAATCGGTGATGTTTTATTTGTTACACATACATGTAATTAAATTAAGTCACAGGAATAAAATGTGCACACCATAAAATTGTTAGCACACTGACTACTAACAATTAAAGGTGATATTTTATTTGTTACAATCTGTGGCAAACTATAATTTTATTGATTTATATTTATATCATATCTACCTTGTATTTTGACCCTGAAACTACTGCTCCATTTAAGTTGTGCATGTGTTCAACTAGCACACAAAGGGGATTAATGTGTGCAAACATTTTATTTCTTTGTCACATAAAAATTTTTCAGGTTCTGAGATTGCTCCATCACTTGAAATGGGCCAATACAGTCTTATTAGACAAGTTTATAAATATCTTGCGGCAATCATTTTGTCACAGGAATAAAATTTGTACACCATAAAATTGGTGCGCACACTGACTACTAACAATTAAAGGGAACATTGCCTGATTCTTTTAATAGAGTGTATATTGGATGAAAGAATAGTCCTGTAATGATATAATATAATAAAATAAAATTTTACTGTTACAATAAATTAGTAACTTTTACACTTATTTCTACCATATGATTTTCATATTTGAAAAATAATAATTAGAAATTGTTTTATGATAATAAATAGTAAAAACAATTTGATATTATTTTAATTGTCAGCTTTAAGAATAAATTTATCAGTATTTTTTCGATGATCTCAAAGTATGTAACTGTAATAAGATAAATCTCTTTAACAGTGCAATATAATACTTGTATTATGTTTAAATTATTGTTTTATTGTTTAGTTTATGTTTCTTGAGTATGATCATGCATGTAATTTATTTTTTAATTGTAAACATAATTGTTTTTATAATGTATTGTAACATATTGTAGGATATTTGTTTGGTAAAATTCAGTGTAATAAAAGCATATTTATAATATGTTGAAAATCCATTCATGACCTTTGTGTTGGGGAACAGGATTTATTGTTAGATTTGCAAGTATGAATTCTAGACAGTGAAATGTCTAAAATCCATTCATGACCTTTGTGTTGAGATACAGAATTTATTGTTATACATTCCAGACAGTGCAATGTCATTTTAGTAAAGAAATGCACCCCTCCTCCTTTTCCCCCTCAAAACACATAACAAATAAGATAAAAACATATTTTTAATGACCTAAAGCTAATGACAGCATTTGACACCATGTGTTGATTATACATGCATGTTAATTATATAATTCAGTCAGTAAAATGAGTTGTTTTAATTCAGTATGTACAGAAAATATTGGCAACAGAATATTGCTCATTTAAAACAGAAGATTTCAGTGCAACAAATAAATGCCCATAAGCAACATGTTGACGGATGGCTTTAAAGTTTTCAGAAGCAATACGATTAGGTGAACAACCCCAGAAATTTTGAAGAAAATTTTAGAAACTTTGACCGGTAGAACATTTACAAGGTTTCATTGATATGGGCAGTAACTCCGCAAATTTCGATAGGGTTTCCTTTTAAGACAAGCTTAGCAACAAAAAATTAGACCTTTTACGCATTTACTAGGTTTTGATGATAGGGGAAGTAACTCTGCAAAAACATTAAGCTGTGCAGAATTTCGACCTAACTTCCCCCTTGGGTCTAGCCGAATCATCAAAAACTTTGACCTGTAGAGAGTTTAAAAGAATTGTGGATGGACGGGCCGGCATACTGGGTGACTACAGTATACCCCCACATAAAATGTGGGCATACAATAGGCCTAATTATATAATAAGAATGCAGAGAAATTCGAGTAATCGCACTGAACACTTTGTGAACGTTCGGAGTCAAATATTACCAAGAAACTAATGCGGATAAGGCAACGTGGACTATGATGATATAAATAGAAATCCGCCAAACACAACCACGGTAGTAAGTGCGTTAGCTTATGTCAAATCAATAAGTAAATGGACAAAGTCGTAATCTTAGCTAATAATTGTCACAATGCCTACGTGTGAACCAAACAAAACGGTGACAACTAATTAAAGATGTGGGCAGGCCTGAAATGAACATTTACCTCACAGAACCATAATAATATACTAATTGTGTTTCCTTCCAGCTATCTAATTTACATTTGAACCACGAAGAAAAGTGTCATCACAAATAAAGTTAATCTCTTTCAAAAACGACTTCATCTTCAATCATAGCTTGGTCAGAAGACGTTGGTAGGTCAAGAGATATACCAGATATATCTATCTCATCTGTTCGTCTTTTCTTCTCGTATTTTCCACGAATACGAAATATTTTAGGACTCGATAAGAAACCTTGAAAAGATTGCCCCTGTTTTATTCTACACAGGTTACAGTGGAGCTTAAACCATCGCTTTATTTTATTAGTGATGAATTTGGTTGTGAAAAGGAAGAGAATCAAGTTGGCCAGACCTTGAGAGTTATCACATATTCCCTGAAAATAAAACATCCATGAAATTATAGTAGAATCACTTGAAAATACAGAAAAATTCATTAGAAATATGTGGTAATGCAATGAAGCCAGTTTTAAATTTATAGGCGACCATATAGACGACCGGTCGCATGTCTTTCTTTTAAATAATAATATAAAAAAAACAATTTCTTTCTGATTGAAGGAAGCCTATATTATTACAAGCCCGGGACTGCACTGGCCCGCGGATCCATTCACTTGAATTGATATTTGTTGTTTGTTTCTTGCAATATCTGTGTAGTTTGTCTTGTCCGCAGGTTTGTCCTGTCGGTTTTGTTTTGCGTATAGTGTGTTTCTCCTTCACTTACTAATAGGTATCATTATACACCTATACGAAGGAAAGCATAACAATAGAGACTTTTGGCAACCGTAAATTCCTGGTCCGTATCGCGTATCCGTAACGATTCTGCGTGTGACGTCATCAATTCGTGTGTATTTCTCATACGTGATACGGCACACGGATACGGCAGCACGTATCGAACAGCTTTAATACGGAAAAGGTCGTCGTCTTTTTTGCTACTTTTAAACGCTGAAATGTGTAGCACTATCGTCGTTTTTAAATTTATAGACAAGGAATAGAGAAATAAGATGGGTTCAACAACATTTTTTATCTTTACAAATTATTCTCTATTGTCAGTATATTAAGGTATGAGTTTATTTAAAACGCAAATTAACTGTTTATGAAATAGCGTGAGAATAACAGGAAAGAGGGTCTGAGTTCAAGGATAGATTGTGTCGAGAAACATGTGACGGAAAATTACGATTGCATCATTTAGCTTGTTTGACCAATCTCTATACTTATTTACATGATATTTGACCAATTAGATAATTGAACGTCCAAAACCCACAGCTACAAAACTATAATACTTGTGAGAATTCGTTAGACTTCTATTAGGTTCCAGAGGGCTTACATCTGAGTTCCTAGAGAAATGGTTTTAGCTAGTATTGTTATCGATTATGCTTGTATACCTGTATTCAGCTATATATATATATATAAAATATGTAGAAGCAAACTGTCGCATTGTTATTCCTGGTAAGATAGACGTCTTAAGAAACTGTAAGAAGTAAATACACAACGTGAAGCAGAAGTAAAGACAGCTAGAGACAAATTCTAGACGATCACAAGGCTACAGAAATATGTAGTAAGAAAAGATGCATGGGTCGTACGTAAGTTGTGGCGACCGGTTTTAGTACTGTGTCCGCTCTCCACGTCAGACAGAAAGACTCATGGTATTACAAGTGTTGTGCCGTAGCGTTTTTATGAATCTATATATGTCTATAGAACGAAGTTGTATATTTGATGTGATTTTAACCATGGCAAAGACTGGAATTTAATTATTACTTTGGATGAGCTTTTCGCGGAATTTTCATATTTTTCTATCCGTCTGCACGCTTGTTGATCTACGTGCTAAATTTAGGGAGGTGGGACCTTGCAAATTTGTAAAAGATGTATATTTTTAATAAGATTCGACACTTGCCAAAAGTCTCTACTATCTTGGCATAACGTTGCACATCACAATCTGCAAGACCAGGTAAGACCTATATCCTAGATGACCCATATGAACAACGCAATCAATTGTTTTAGAGAAACCAGCGCTTTTGAAATCTTAGACGGTAAAAAAATGAAATGAAATGGGGTTTAACGTCCTACTGCTCTGCTCCTAAACTGGGCTAATGAAGATGGACATGCGCCATACAGTGTGCAATGAGGGATATTTTGCCCGGGCAGCGGCACTACGGCCTACTCTTATATCGAATTCCAACTGCCAAGGGATCTTTTACGTGCACGCCAATGTGTACACGGGACCTCGGTTTTTCGTCCCATCCGAACGCCTAGACAGCTTTCTTTGTCAGGCCCTCCGTCCTGCATCACTGACAAGGGGAAACCACGCTGGAAAATCGGGATGAACTTTCTCGGCCAATGCAGGGATCGAACACCCGACCTCCAGGCTAGCGAGCCAGCGTCTTACCCACTTAGCCACGTGATCCCCCTAGACGAAGGAATGCATAACACTATCTTGACATAACGTTTCACATCACAATCTGCAAGACCAGGTAATACCTATATCCTAGATGACCCATATAAACAACGCAATCAATTGTTTCAGAGAAACCAGCGCTTTTGTAATCTTAGCTGGTAAAAAAGGCGGCATATTGTTGGATATTATAGATGTAGTTAGTGGGGCATAAAGAATATAAACTTATTCCGCCAAAAAAGATAATTGGTTTTTACCTTCATAATAAGTAGCCAAACAGTGGAATAAGTATGAGTTTTATTTGGTCCTGTTGTTCCAGTGATAAAATGCAGAGAGCTCCAAAGCCTGAGTACAACAAATATAGCCGGTATATAACGAAGTTGTTTGTTAGCTGTCTGTATAGCCATATCTTCTATTGTTTGACTACTATTCATACTTCTATGTTTCTTCGACTGAAAAAATAATTTAAAACACAAGTTGCCATGAAACAAAACATAATACTACCGATAGTTGTCCATCTGATTTATGGGTTGTTGTTTTTTATATAAATATTGGAAAGCATCCCAAAATTTCACAATTTGTAGTTAAAACTGCATTATGTAAGACTTTTTGTACGGCCTCAAATGTTATATAAATTATTATACGTGTATATATACATAATCAATTCTCTAGAATATACGATTGCTGAGATATTAAGTGGATTATACAATATTTGAAATATCTTTGCTTATTGAGACTTTTTTTATTATCGTAGCAATGGTACTTGGTAATCGTGACTATTTACACTATTTCTTGTCAAAACGTCAAACATTCATAACTTAGCTCAGAATAAAGTAATTTGAACGAAATTTTCAATATATTTATTTCTTATTATTTATTTTTGAGCTATTATAGCACGAACGACCAGCTCTTTATCTAAATCTTAGATAATGCATATTTACGTATCAACTTGATATTTGAAACTGATTTGTTAAAATCCTTGTATTTACCTGTCTGTAGACACTGAGTGTTAGTATTATAAAAGAAATAAAACAGAATATTAAAGATGCTAAAGCCCATGCTTCCATCGTCATATAATACCACTGTACTTCATTTTCTATACGATCACTGACCCAACAATAAACCGGTCTTTTAGATTTCAATACAAAACTCACATCATACCCATAAATATCAGAAACTCCAGAAGCTAAAGCCACTATTGCTGTAAATATAAATAAATAAAAAATGATTATCACAATGGATATTTGACTCCTTATTGGATTAGTTATCCTGGAAATACTATCTCCACCAAAATTAATAAATGAATTGAAATGAAATGGTGTATAACGCCCTGCATCGAATGGGCTAATGAAGATGGATACAAAGTAATAGAGTTTTGCCCAATAATAGTAGATGGTATCCTTCAAAATACATCCTTGTTATCATGACTACATTCAAGAGTTCAACTTGGGTTTTGGGTGTGGTGTGGCCGTGTTTGACCATAACATTGTTACAATAGGGGAGGCGCGACGACTCATTGAGTAAGGCGCCGGTTCGGGGTTCGATCCAGCATAGTTTCCCCTTGTCAGAGGTGCAGGATGGAGGTCCTGGTAACAAACGGTGTCAGTCTTTGAATGTTACGCGTACATGTAAAATGACAGTTGGAATTCAATTGCTTTCCGGGCCAACTGTCCCTCATTGCACACTGTGTGGCGTATGTCCGTCTTCATTAGCTCGTTTGGCGCAGAAAAGTGGGTCGTTAAACCCCGTTGCATTCATTGCATTGTTGCACTTATCTAAACAAATGTTACCGAACTGTCTCATATCAAAGAAATATTTAAAAATGTAGACGTTAAACTTCAAAAGTGACACTGGGCAATTTGACAAAACAAAACAAAAATATGATTTTTCGAAATAATTAACACCCGTTAAAATATGACGTATACAAATATTACTTTCCGAAACAATTCTGCTAATTACTGGTCAATAAATGTGTATGGAGTATTCACGCCAGCCTGATTAAAACTCCGCTTAAAGATACATTATGTAAGATTCGGATAAAGAGCCGACAGTTCTCGCTATAATAGTTTAAAATTGGTAATGGAAAATGAATATATTATTCAAAATTTTAGTCAAATTAGTTTATTCTGGGCGAAGTTATGCACTTTTGAAGTTTTGTCATTGTTACGATAATAAACAAAGTCTCGATTATCCATTATAAATCACCATCATCAGTTGGTCTAGACAGTTTATATGGTCTAATTAATAATTTATATAACCTTTGAGGTCACGTGAAAGACCTGCAATAGGCAGAATTCGCCCTTACATTTATAATGCATATTTAAGGGTTAGTTTGAAGTGTATGGGTTTTTTTTAAAGATAACTTTAAAGATAAATTAATAAACATTAACATACATGAAGTTAAACTCAGATTTCAAATGCAGAGGGTATGGAGTTTAGTTGGCATAGTGTTACACCGGTGCCACACCTTTAATACTATTGTAACAGTGTATCAACGGTTTAACACTATATGTAGAGCACCAAAAAAGTTTTTGAAACAAGGGCAATGCATTGATTGCCCCCAAGTTTATAAAATCCTTCCCTATAACCAGATTTACGACCATTTTAGTAAGTTTTCGAAAACGGCATAATAATTCTGAAATAAACTATATATTTATTACCTGGCATAACCCAACAAAAAACATGGAAGAATATCACTAGTTTATTGCCCACACTGATATCTCTCATTACAACACTTAGAAACAAATAAAATGATATTATATCCGTCCACAAAAAACTACAGATACTCGAATAAACAAACAGAAAACTGGCGGCTTGGCATAGTATATTCTTCTCATCAAATAATGTCAAACTTTTAAAATAAGTAGCGGCTTGTAAAATTCCAGAAATACCCAGGAAAAAGTTGGCTATGCTAAGACACACCAGCAGTTTCCTTCCAGTACTTCGTATGTCTTTGTAAAGCAAGTAACACGAAATGATGGCCAGGCTTGCCAAGATGGAACCAAATGACGTCACATTCGTGAGTACTACATACGCATTATCAAGTGACGACGTAATAGGCATACGAGGGTAATTAACAAAATCCGAATTGTTGAGGTTAATCTTCATTTTAATTTTTCTTGACGCTAATGATAATCTATAAACTGTTTCAAACACATTCTTATCTGAAATAATAAATTAAAAAATAAGGACATCAATAAACAAACTCTAAAAATTACACAAATAAAGTAAACCCAGCCTAAATTGTCGGGTGTCCAAAAATAGGGAATAAATTTAGATGTTGCACAATACCCAAACAAGTATTAGATTCGTATCAAACTCTCCAGCATCTTTGAACATAAACATTAAACAATACGATAAATATACACTGCCTCGTGCATACCACTCGTCAACACGATAAATATACACTGCCTCCTGCGTACCACTCGTCAACACTTAGTCTAAATATGACTGCAGTGATGGTTAGCCCTGTGTTTCAAAAGTGTGGGAGATAAAATAAACACCGTGGCCAAAGGCCAACAGAGTCATCTTACCGGTGCCTTAATTACAAACACCCCAAGAAAACAATGAAGTGGTATCAGATTTTATAGACATAATAATAGTGTCATTCTCGTGAAATTAAATGTGGTTTAACATCCTACTGTTCTGATCCTTCTGGGCTAATGAAGATGGGTATACACCATGCAGTATGCTATAAGGGAGATTTTGTCCGAACAGCGGCTCTACGGCCTACTCTAATTTCGAATTCCAACTATCAAGGGTTCTTTTACATACACGCTAATCTGTATACGGGACCTCGGGTTTTCATACCATCCGTCCTACACCACTTACAAGGGGGAATCACACTGAAAAATCCCAGCCAACGCCCACCTCTTTTAATCCGACCCTGGATATTTTCATTTTAAGTGTATATAGATAGAAAGAGGGAAATAAAAGAATTAAAACGACCAACTTACCACATATTACATTTCAGTCTAAACTGGTTCATAATGATAATCAGTTATTAAAATATCTAATGAATCACTCGTTAACTGCATATGTATCTTATCACTTACAACCATTGAGCAAGGTTCATACGATAAGATGATGGTGATCTTAATCTTTATTATCTATAACATTACAGCATAGTAGACTTCAATAATTGAACCCATTAAGTGTTCTTGGGCGTTAAGGAAACGTACATATACAAATTGGTGTCCTTTTGGATTGCGAAGAGCGATAGCGCAATACCACTCTTTAAAATGTCTTCCATCGCTCCATGGCATTTTGGCGTCACATGGAATTCACGTGGCTTGAAAAGGTTCATATCGTATCATACACCACATTAACACGACATCAGTAGTGGGTGTTGCGTGCAGCCCAAGCTTTATCTTTTTTATGGGCTTGGTCTCTTGTCCATTTGCTGTCGTTTTCTCCATGGTGTTCTGGCGTTACATGGAATCCACGTGGCTTGGAAAGGTTCATACCTCACAATAACACGATATCAGTAGTGGGTGTTGCGCGTGGCCCAAGCTTTATCCTTTTTAAATACCATGTACCCGTTTCTATTATGGGACTATTCTCTTCTACATTTGCTGTCGTGTTTCGATTTTGTCGAATTAGTCCACTGGAATTTGCATTTTTACTACTGTCTAAGATCGATTGTGGTTAGCTGTGGGCATTGGAGGGTAGGGTCAAGTGCCCTTGAAAGTGCAAACATATCCTGCATAGTGCACATTTCTGCCACTACTTAAGCTATATGTGGCGATGTTTTGAACTACATCAAACCGTTGGTATAATTTTGAAAGTAATGGGACTACGACTGGGGCGAGACGGAAATTTAATTCACATTACTGAAAAGGGAAGCAGATATTGAAACCACTTTCTTGAAGGGCGCAACAACCAAAGACTTAGCAAAAGCGAATGGGAAGTTGAACCCCACCAAACCCTTCTCACCAAAAGGCTGTGTCTACCAAATCAACTGCAGTTGCCAGGAAAGTTACATTGGAGAATCTAAAAGACCATTAGATATCCGACTAAAAGAACACATGTCAAAAGTCCCCACCAACCAATCTGCAGTTGCTGAACATCTGAATGACAACCCACGGCACCGTGTCGATTGGACCAAAGTTAAAACGTTGGCTGTGAACCACCACAACAAAAGAAACAGAAGAATACATGAGGCCATCAACATTAGAAGACATGAACCGAAACTGAATCGAGACCCAGGCGTCTATATCCCCAGAGCATATGACCGCATTATCAAATTGTAAACACAGTCCCCCTAAGTAAGTCCCCATGCAAAACCATATTTAACTACTGGCATTTTTCAATACTGAATCGATTGTATACTCCATACCCACAACCCTTACATTTTATAATCCTCGTTATCAATATGTAAAATTTGTATGTTTCAATTATTTTCTATAATTTATTTAGCTATTCACAGTATTTTATGTTATGTAACTCAATTACAATATATCTTACCTCTCATATTTATAAATATAAAAAGGTTCATCATAGGGCATTCTGCTTAATTTATCATTATTTATTTATATTTTATTCAGCCCTTTGATATATAATTACCATGTAAATACATATATGCAACTTATTACTTTAAAACATAACCGTAAAATTCTATATTTCTTAACTGTTATAATCAATGTAAAGATTATGGTTTCGATATAATTCTATAAACCCCCAGTTTGATCTTCTTGAATGTTTATTTAGTCAATCTTAGTATATACTGGTTTCAGTTATGGTACACTGTGCATGGTTTCAATATTTGTTAATCTTGGTTAATCCCCTGTTTCATCTTTTAATTGTACAATAAGCCAATTATAATATATACGATTATGCACCTTTGTTACATCAATAGCTTGTTATAGCCAATCATGCTCACTCACCTTGCATTCCATTGGATAGTTCGCACTGATGTTTGTATATATATATATTCATATCTTTCTCATTTTTTATCTATTTGTGTATATGCTTGATAACGACTTGTGAAACCTTGTTGAAACGTCGCAGTGAAATAAACTATAGTAATTGTTATCCATAAAAGTGTGTTTTTTAGATCAGAGATTTACATGCCTTTCATGAAAATATAGCATTTCTTAGTTGGTCCTCCACGAACCCACGAATAATAATAAACAGCCTTCGTTCGGTACTCCTCAGCTCATTGTTTTTCTTCCCCAGAAGTATATGCAAACTTCCAAAAAGTTCAGAACTCTGCTGCACGTTTCACATTTATGTATACATTCGTGCATAATTTAAGCTAAGCTGATTATAAATACAAATCTTCGCAATAATAAGAATACATAATAATCAAACAGACAACAAAACACTAGTACTTCTACTTCTATTTCATTTTCTACCTATGTAAATGTAAAACATTGGCATACTTATTTATACAATAGAAACAAAGAATATTGTGAGAATTTTCATGTCAATAGAGCGATTGTTAAAGGGAGATAAACACAGACATCTTAAACGAAAGCAGACCACCAAACATTCTTCAATTAAGCTTGGCGCAGTAGTAATTGCAGTGGAACTGTACTATACGCAAACCAAAACCGCCAAGACAAGCCTGTGAACAAGATAAACTACAGACAAATCGAGTGAATGGGTCCAGGGGCCAGTTCTGTATAACTATAAAGATGTGATTTAATTATACTCACAATCTTTAATCCACCGGATTTATTTAACAACGGTGTGATACAACTAAAAGCACACGCTTTTTTTTCCTTTTTTTTTAAAAGAAGCTTTGCATATTCTTAACCATCAAAATACTTCGAATATCGATTTTCCAACCTTAATAATTACAAAGTTGGCCTAGGGTTTGCAGCATTTTAATCAAGTTGATAACGGCATTCTTTACGGAACGTCCTGGCTTTATGGCTACAGGTTAGGTTTGCTGACGTATAGCCCTTTCCGGTGTCATGGTTTGGCTCAGTACCTTACGTTTTAAAGTTACAACACAAGAGAGGTAGTAGGTAACTATATTGAAAAGGGGAATCCAATATATATGTAAGCGATACGACATCACCCGGAGCTCACGCGCAAGGGACTGAGCCAAACCTAGATATGGGGGTACCTGATACCACTTGTAACTGGGATCATCTGCATTGGGGGCACTGTCAGGGTAGATTTAAACCTCTGAGAACATCACTCTTTTTTTGATTTGATGTAGTGTCTGTCCAGTTAACTGTTCAGCAGGTGGCCGAGAAGAACTTTCGAGATTTCTTTCAAGGAAAGTGTGTCTAGCCGTTCGGATTGGACAAAACAGAACAGTGCACGTAAAAGATCAGATGGCAATTTGAATTTTGAGAAGGGTAGACGTGAATATTGGTGTTCAGGCAAACATCTACTCTATAGTTATCTATAGTAAAAATAAAAAGAATACCCGAAGATGTCTCAAAATGTGATGAACAAACTTAATATCGACAGAACGTTAAACCCCATTCCATTGTGTTTAGCAGTTTGACATAACTTTATGATGAAACAAATTTTCCATAATATTTGCATCTTTTCATAAATACACGCACCCATTAAAAATCTATATCTATATCTGTTTGTGCACGGTAACTAGATCGCTTTAAGATCTTCTAATACAAATAAAGCTTTTCAATAGAACTCTAAACCCTATGTTTAGTTATGGACCTTGATTTAAATAGCGCACATGCAGGATACTAAATATCTAGGATATATATATATAATAAACTATACAAAGCAAATATCTAAGTTATACAACTTTATCAGAAGCTATAATACACCACCATCTTTGAAAGTCTTAAAGCCATGCATTTATATATTGATCCTCCAAATATGATGAGATAGAGAGAGAGAGAGAAATGGGGTTTAACGTCCACTCGACACAACTAGGTCATTTCGGGACTAACATATGGTTTAATTTTATTTCAATAATTCGCTTGCGCATAGGGGTCTTTAGCAGTGGGAGGAAACCGGAGGACCCGGAGAAAACCCACGAGGTTGGACAGGCGACCCTACTCCTTGTCACGTACAACCGGGGATTCGAAACCACGCCAGTCGACTCAATGACAGACTTTATGATACAGCGCGCGCACGCTAACCAT